ACATCACGTAAGGATATCAACATCATATTCACAATTTCATTTCACATCCCACATTAATAACTTGCTGTAGTGGTTTACATGCACAGCATATAGGTTAAATGACTATGTTCATAACATGAAGTCTCTCTCACCTCTAACGTTAGGAAAGCCCCGTTCAGCTCATCGTGTTTTCAGAGGAGTGAAGGACAAACACTGTAACATTCATACATTCATATTCTCGCTGTCATATTCTGACTAACGATGTGAGTGACGCCACGTACACCAAAAAAAATATATATATATATATCTGTGATCATCCGGCTGTCAGAAGAAGTGAAACAGAGCCGATAAGTTGTGGGCGGGCGCTGATAGTTTGTTTTTAACTCGGCTCTTGCAGGTACCGCTTTGAGTGACAGCTGTGAGGCGATCATGCTGTCCAATCAGCGCGCAGCTTTCGTGACACATAGTGGCTACTGTGAGGTGATTGTGCTGACCAATCAGCGCGCAGCTCTCATCGTTCCTAGTGGCTTTTGTAAGGTGATCCTCTCGTCCAATCATTGAGCCGCTTTCACTGACGTTCGATGTCTGCTGTTTTTAGCATTATGTCGAAAGAATAAAAACATAGGCAAGTTGAACTAATAAACTAAAAAAATAATAAAGCTTGTTCTTTCTGGAATGATGAGAAGGGTTTTTAAAGAAAACAGTGTAGATAGTAAATGATGCCTATTAAATGATGTACTTAAATGTTAATTATACTTTCAGTAGCTATATTGAAACATAACATATATTTTTAAGTGATATATTCATAATTTATGAACTATCTTCTTTCCAGCTGACAGGGAGCATTCTCACAGCTTTCACTAACGTTTTCTTAACTTTATATGTGACCCTGGACTGGACCACAAAACCAGTTTTTTAATTCAATTTATATTCAATATTAAATTGAATATTGTTCAAATCTGAACAAATAAGCTTTCCATTGATGTGTGGTTTGTTAGGATAGGACAATATTTGGCCGAGATACAACTATTTGCATAGCAATGCATAGCCTATTGCTAATCAAAAATGAAGTTTTGATATATTTACGGTAGGAAATTTGCAAAATATCTTCATGGAACATGATCTTTACTTAATATCCTAATGATTTTTGGCATAAAAGAAAAATCAATAATTTTGACCCATACAATGTATTTTTGGCTATTGCTACATATATACCCCAAACGACCGATTTTTCTTTTACGCCAAAAATCATTAGGATATTAAGTAAAGATCATGTTCCATGAAGATATTTTGTAAATTTCCTACCGTAAATATATCAAAACTTCATTTTTGATTTGTAATATGCATTGCTAAGAACTTCATTTGGACAACTTTAAAGATGATTTTCTCAATATTTTGATTTTTTTGCACCCTCAGATTCCAGATTTTCAAATAGTTGTATCTCGGCCAAATATTGTCCTATCCTAACAAACCACACATCAATGTAAAGCTTATTTATTCATAAATGTATAAATCTCAGTTTCCCAAAAAAATATTCTTATGACTGGTTTTGTGGTCCAGGGTCACATATAGTATTAGGACAAAATGTTCTTAAGGATGTTTGTGGAAAATTCTTATAACATTATTAATATTTAATACATTCTCATAACATTATATAACAAAATTGAACATATAACAAAATCTTCAAAACATCCTTATGTAAACTTTAAATAGCCTAACGTTCTAATCACAAAAAATGAAACTTTGACATTTTAAACATTCTAAGAATATTAAAAATAAACATTCAAATAACATTATATTCTGGGTGAGTAAAATGCCATAAGAAACATTTTTGTAGTTATAATCACAAGAAAACTGGACATTTCAAAACAATGTTCCGACAACGGTTTTATAACCTGTTATCTGGGATTCTACTGTCTGCACACTTCTATTTGCTATTTAGCTCTTGAAATCTTTTGAACTCTTCCTTTTCTTATCTTCCTGTCAATGAAGTTCTGCAATAGGCCTAATTAAGTAAATAGGACAGGCCGAAAATATGATATTATGATAAACACAAAGTTACAAAAATCATACAAAGTCCCCCAAAACCATTTCTATGCACCAGACAGATCAGAGATTTGCATGTGAACAAGAGTGCTGTGATCCTCTCATGCATCAGTGTTGACAGACAGAGAGAGAAAGAGGAAACGAGAGATTGGTTTCCTGAGGTTCTGAGTCATGCTACACTTCACTCACGTGTTTGTGCTTTACTAGCCCACAGTCTGATGGGTAAAACAGCCCAGTTGAGTTGTGACAGTTATGCACATGTTTTTTCAGTCTGTCTGCTTTATTAATTTGCTTATACAGGGTTTCTGCGGGTCTTAAAAAGGTTTTAAAATGTCTGAATTTTCCACAAATGAAGGACTAAATTAAGGCCTTAAATCAGAGCAGAAAGTCTTAAATTCAGAAATGTGTGGCATTGCGTTGCATGCACTGCAAAAAAATTATTAAGTATTTTTAATGCATGAGTTATTTTAGTATTACTGAGATCCGATTATTGTTTTTATTGATAGTTTGAATTATTTTTATATTTTCTGTTTTCATTTTGATTTTAGATAAAGTTTTAGTAGTTAGTTTTAGTTTAGTTTTTTATATATATACAGTATAGTTTTTAGTATCATGTTTACTTTATTTCAATTAACAATTTTATATGAATTTAGTTAACTATAATAACTAAGAGATAAGCGATGCACGGGCAGCAACATTCAAAGGGTGACAACTTCTGAAATAGCTCAAACGTTTTCGACTTCTTTAACTTTTTTGGTCACTACATAATTCATATACTTTTATTTGTGTAATTTTTTTACTTTACTATTAGTAGGTGTGTCCAGACTTTGAACTGGCGCTATAAACACCAAAACAAAACAAAGACAGCAGGTTACCCAAGACCAGCTGCAGTTGATGGCTTCTTCTCCACTCTGGAATTTCAGGTCACTTCCAGTTTCATTCTCATCCCCCTCATCCTCTCCCTGCATGACAGCTGTTATGATCACGATCTTCTCAGAACCAGTTTAAATCTAATGCAGAGGTTTCAATATGCAAATGTTGCAGAAGAAATTAGCTGAAGTTAGGAATAACTGCAGGTGATCCGAGAGCAGATCTGTGTTTCAGATTCTGTTTATGAGAGGCAGAGACAGAGTCTTGCTATTTTTACCTGCTACACTGGAGTAAACTGTGTGTTTGTGGTAATGTGAGAGGACCACGTTCATTTGAGACCCTCAAGTTCACAGTCCAAATACACACACATAAATTAAAATAACCATTCAAAGACACAAAAAATGTATAATAAAGTACATTATAGAAAAAAAGACAAGAGAAAACGTAAAGTTTGTATGTTTATAAGTTGCTGTGTTTATAATATTTTTGTAATATTTTTTCTAAAGTTTCAAATTTAAATGTTAGATTTTTTCCATGTATTTTTGTTTTTGTTTGAAAAATTAAGCTTAATAAAATTATAGACCTAGAAGGTCAGATAGAAAAGGACTTTCAAATCAGCAAAAAGATACTGAAAATATAAAAAGCCTAATAAAAAACAACAACAACATAATATTAAGTCTTTTTATTTCTATAGTTTATTATAGTGTTATTTATTTGTCTTAAAATACTGTTATTCATTTATGCTAGTAGCTTGTTGTTGACGACTGTATATTCTACAGTGAAACTAATTCAAAAAGAAACAATTAAAAACGAAAAGAAAATAAACTTAAATAAAGGGAACATGTTGGGTTTTATTTTTACATGAGTACATATGTTAATATAAAAGTTTTTATTTAGAGTCTGAAATGTGAATTTGTTTGTTTAAAAACGTATTGTGATGGGAAAATAAAATATAACTTCAGATAACAGACTTTCAAATCATCAGAAAGAGAGAAATAGATGGCTGAGTGGGTTAATGAAGAAATACTTTTGAGGAATTTTGTGTCCCGTGTCAATTTCTCCATTAATCCTATGCATTATTTATTTATTTATTATTACCATCATCATCATCACCGGCTTTTATTTTGAAAGCATGCCGTCTTTTCGTCGCCGGATGTGCATCTTTTATGTCTTGTAGTCCGTTTCCGGCGCGGCGGTGGTGTTGTTGTTGTTGAGGCGCTATGGTTTGTCAGCGCGGCCTCGATCTTTTCCCGTGAGTTTTTGTCGCTTTCTGCGGGTTTCATGTTCCGCGCCGCCGAGATCAAGAGCTTCGGTAAAGCGGGAACCGACTGGTATGTGTCTCACGTGTTTTGCCGTCGGTTTGTTCGGAACCGATCATGATGTGTTTGATGTGTGTAACGTTATCTCTGACCCGATCACACTCGCAATAAACTACGTTACTATTGTATTATCATGTAGTTATTGTAGTGACTATGCTACTCTTTGAAATGAAATTCCACAGTACATGATTATGGTAATAATTCATTACCGCAACTAACTTACCATGGTATTACCGCACTTTTATTTAACCTACTGTGTTAATACTGTGGTGTATAATTCAAAGACAGAGCTTGAAACCATCGAGCAGTTGATTGTCTATCCAGATTAATTAGAAATCCAATCCTTATGAAAAAGTGTCATAGTATTACTACCAGCATTATGAATGGACACTGCCATTGAGAAGGTCATGGTAATACCATCTATCATCATCACCACCTTAAATCCTGAGAATTGCATTTATGTATCGACTTTAAAAATTCCCTGTCATGTAAAACCTGAAAAAAAACCATGAGAAATTTGTTTTTATTTTATTAATTTAAAAAGTACATTCATAACTAATAGAAAAGTCATTTAAAAATCAAATTAATAATAGAAGTCACAAAAATTAATAAATCAAAATTTTTAAATGATTTTTATAGAAAGTATATGCTTCTGCTGTTAGCTCTAAAATAATTAACTGACTAGAAATAGCTATATTTAATAATCCTTACTCACTCATTTTAAATAAATGGATTTTCCCTCATTTGCTCTTTTCTCATTTTTCTCCTAATTTCACTCATTTTGATCAGACATTGTTGATCATTTGATTGAAAATCAAAATTAGTCAAATAAATAATAGATTAGTCGTAGAAATGAATAAACTATTATGTATCAGTTGTGTGACATGGCAATTAATTGAAACAAAATCATGGATTTTTTTAAAGCTCTCAAAAAGTATATAAAAATTTGGATATAGATTTATCGGCCAACATATCGGTTATCGGCTTTCAAAAATAAAGAATTATCGGTTATCGGTATCGGCCAAAATTTTCATATCGGTGCATCCCTAGCAAATATACATTTTACTGCTGTTTAGCTTTAAAATGTTTCATTGACTAGAAATTGGCTTGTTAGAACAATCTCTTTTATATCATTCTAAATTCGATCATTATGAACCTTTTTTTCTCTTTTTTTTACCTAAATTCACTCATTCTGAGCAGGCACTTTTGGCAGACAATGGACAAGCTGGTCCTTGCCCTGGTGAACGTCCTAAACAAAGTTCCATTAATAATGCATAAATTACTAGAAAATGTAAATGCATAAATAGAAACATATGAAAACCAATACAATAAATATGAAAAAATCCTGAGAATTGCATTTACGTATCGACTTGAAAAATTCCCTGTCATGTAAAACCTGAAAAAAGAGAGAAAATTCTTTTATTTTATTAATTTTATCTAGTAATTTAAATTACTAGAAAATGTTAACGCATAAGTAATAGAAAACATATAAAAAAAATATTAAAACGAATATAAAAATCATAAAATATTAGATAAATTGATTGATGAAATTGAATTGATTGAAATTATTGATTTGATGACTTAATTTAATTAAGTTATGGATGGCACAGAACTTTTTACAATTAAATATTTGGCTCTATTATAGCGTCCTCACATGTGTTAACCGGTCTAGGTCCTACTGCCTCAAATCTGCGTGAGCAAGTAAGAAACCTGGGAGTGGTCTTCGATTCAGATCTTAAATTTGATAAGCAAGTAAACTCTGTGGTAAAGGCGGGGTATTTTCAGTTAAGAAATATCGCAAAAATAAAAAAAATTCTGTCGTTTGATGATTTGAAGCATGTTATACATGCTTTTATTATGTCAAGATTGGATTACTGTAATTCGTTGTGTTTGGGGATTCCTGCTGTTCTGTTGAATCGTCTTCAATTATTACAAAACGCAGTAACCAGACTGCTGACTGGGACCAAGAAACAGCTCAGTGTTTCCCCAGCGCTAGCTTCGTTGCATTGGCTGTCGGTTCATTTTAGAATTCAATTTAAGGTTTTACTTTATGCTTTTAAAGCCTTGCATGGTCTAGCACCTGAATATATTTCGGACATGATCCAGTCTTATTCTTCAACACGGCCATTGAGGTAATCTAAAAAAAATCCCTAAATCCCGCTTAAAGTGCAAAGGAGACCGTGCCATTTGATGTGAGATAGTTGGTGTATATCTGATGGTCTTGTTTGTTTATGTCATGTTGTTTTTATGTTCTTGTTGTTTTGGTTATATGTTGTTTTATTGGAAAGCATTTTGGTCAAGATGAGTTGCTTTTAAATGTGCTATACAAATAATAAACAAACAAACAGTAAATAAATAATTAAAATTAATAAACCATTACATGGCACTTAATTTAAAAAAATAAGATTTTTTTTTGTTAATGTACATGACTAGAAATTGCTCTTATTGTACAATCTCTATAAAATTTTTATTTAAAGGGGTCATATGATGCGATTTCAAGTTTTCCTTTCTCTTTGGAGTGTTACAAGCTGATTGTGCATAGATAAGATCCCTGAAGTTGCAAAGACTAAAGTCTCAAAACCAAAGAGATATTCTTTATCAAAGTTAAGACTCTGCCACGCCCCCCTAAAACGGCTCGTTCTAACACGCACCCACATATCTACCTCACTATGTGGAAATATTAGCATAATGCAGCCCAAATGTGCATGCAAAGAAAGAAGGCGTGGTTTCAGTAACCGCAGTTAGTGTTGAAGCAGCATGTCAGAGAGACGCTGTGTGTTTCTAGGTGAAAGCAAAAGCACTTTATTTGGCCTTCCAGAAGTAGATGCATTTAGGAATCTTTAAGATTACTTACAACAGAACAGCAATGCATTTTATGGACGACCGTTTCGTGAACCTAGGAGAGGAGGAAATTCTGACTTTGCTATGACAATCTGGCGCTTCTGAATCAGCTACTGTTTTGTTATTAGTTTAAGTATTTGCTATCGACTGTTCAAATGCAGAGTTTTGCGCATCGTGAGAGAGAGAGCGAGAGAGTCAGCTGTCTTAACCGCGGCTTGTGTACTGCATCATTACTGTGTCTGTTCCACTTTCGGGCTTGAACTGATGGTAAAACTAATAACATTATTTACTGTCTTTAAATTTATTTTGAAAGATGAAGCTCGCGATTATGGTAAGGGGCGTTACATTTCCGATGAGTGCTTGCTGTGTTCGGCCAATCACAATGCACTGGGTCAGCTGGCCAATCAGAGCAGACTGCGCTTGTTGGAAGGAGGGACTTTGTAGAAAATGAAGCGTTTGAGAGAGGCGGGGCATAGAGGACCTACAATAATGTACATTATTTGAAAAATAATAAGTTTTTAACATTAAAGCATGTCAACATATTCTGTTACACCAAATGCACAAAATAATGATCTTTAAAAAAAGCATCATATGACCCCTTTAAAAATTCAAATCCAGTCATTATGAACAAATACATTTGCTCATTCATTTTCTCTTTTTTTCGCCTAATTTCACTCTTTCTGATCAGGCACTTTCGGCGGACGATGGACGAGCTGGTCCATGACCTGGTGTCGGCTCTGGAGGAGAGTTCAGAACAAGCCCGTGGAGGGTTTGGAGACGGTGGAGATCACGCTCTGGCCGTCGGTTGCCTGTTGAAACGCCAGGCCCGCAAGCGCCGTGGCCGTAAGCGTCGGTCCGATAACCCTCACCCGCCGTGGGACACCTGTCACCTGAGCGAAGGCTCTGAGTCCAGCCTAGAGGAGCAGAAAGACTACCGCTCATCCACGGCAGCGGGGGGTGCTCACACCCGCGACAACAACAGCGACTCGGATGAGCAGCTGGGCACGAAGCGGCGTACGCCCCTCACTGACTCCGGCAGGGGCAAGAGGCCGCTGTGGCTGGACGACTTGAGCGGAGCAGACGTTTTGGGAACGCGCAGTTTGCGGAGGCGTCGGAAAGTCAAGCGCATGGCTGTGGACCCACCACTAGAGGTCTCCACCATTCTAGTGCCACCGTCCAGAGCAACCAACAGCAGGGAGGCGGGGTTTAGTCCGGAGGCCAAAGGGAGCGAATCAAACAAAAACAGGGTGAAGAAGAGGAAGTTCACGGCGCAGAGACTCGCACAGGACGCGGCGGACGAAGGCGTGGTGGTGGAGAGCGAAGAGGCAGGACAAGCGGCCAAAGATAAGATGGACTATGAGGAGCAGAAAGGCTCAGATGAGGAGATGAGTGACAGGTGGTTAGTGTTCTTCTCTCCTGTCTAGCCCCTCCTCTTCCTGTTTCTCATTCCAGGATCCTTCAACATGTTCTCTTTGCCGAATCCCTTTATCCATTAATCATGTTTTATTAGATTGTACTGGTTTTAACTCTTTGAGAGAACTTTTTTTTAAATTCAGTTAACTCTTTTGAGAGATTTTTTAACAGAGTTAAGCCAAATACATTTTTGGAGTTTTTAGCAAAGATAAATTATAAAAACATGATGTGATTCAGCCATAATAATTCTCGCCATGAAAATGGCCACAGAAGCTAAACACAAACAAGCAAACCTGTTTCTCTGCCCTTCAGGACAAGATCTCGCAAGATGTCAAAAAAGGGGTATTTTTTGCTTATTTTCTAGTTAGCTAGGTTAGCTGTGTAGCTTAAGTTACCATGGTGATGAAATCCGCTCAAAACCAACCCATCTTCTTGAGCCCGAAAACTCAGAGTTTGCTCAAGCTAAACACGAACGTACCTGGGTAAAAACACAAACCGGCTTTGTGCTACGGGCCACTAGACTAGACCTCTAGTTTTTTAGATCTTTTCTATACCAGAAACATTATTATTAATATTCTTTGTTTAAGTTACAGAATGTAATAATTACAGCTGTACACATCAGCATAAGAAATTCATATGGTAGGGCTGCACGATTAATCGAATGCGATTGTCATGCGCATTTTGATAGTAATGCCGGTTCTGTAATCAGCAGGAAATCATCATCATATGCTTTCAGATGGAGCAGCATTTACTACACATAGCCGTAGTTCACTGACAAGTTACGCAAAAAAATCGCGATTCTGAAATCTAAGAAATCGTTCACGATAATGACAGCTGTTTGCATAGCTTCTCAGTGAACTACGGCTCTGTGAATTAAATGCTGCTCCATCTGAAAGCATGTGAAAATACCACATTTAATAACATATTTTTACTCCAAACTCGCTTCATAAAAATTTGAAATAAATCCTTCTGTGAGCTGATGTGGCTTCTTACACAGAATAAGGCATGTAACATATTTCATAGTATTTAAGCAGTGATAAAGGCATTGCATTATAAATATACTTTATTTTAATGAAAATGATAATAATAAGAACTCAGATAAACCGTATATTGTCATAGTTGTGTGTTTATTAGTCAGGTTGAATCAATGAAAGCAGTTGAATCTTCTGTTTATTCAGCTGCAGCAATAGGCATTTTCTGGGTTTCTTCTGCGAGGCGTATTTGGAGTTTCAGCACGAGAGCGCCCTCTGGCCTTTGGATGGAGATTTACTGCTGATCACAGAACCGTGCTTCACTGAAAGATACGCATGACAATCGCAGCTTCTGTCGAATCTCGATTTCATTTTGATTTATCGTGCAGCCCTACATATGGGTGAATCTAATGAAACCAGTCAAGAACATGCCCAGGTCATATTTCAACCCAGATGAAATTAAGAAGAATATGCAATTCAGTTTTCCATAAAACATTTTTTTAGGATTTTTTTTTTGTGCACACTACCCCAATTTTAATTACCATAATACACAAAAATGCATAGTGCAAAATAAAATATGAATAAGATAATTATTTATTATTATTATATATCATGGTCATATTTCTAATGCCTTAAATTATGCTGATTTTAATTAGAATACTAAAATAGTATTATTAAGTTTATTTTACAGCAGTGAAATCTTACAACAGTAATATTTCTTATTTTGTTCTTAGTAATTTTTATATTTTTACTTTATTATTATTCATTTGTATTACTGTTATAACTATTATTATTTTATAGCTATATTGATTGTAGTAATTTTTAATATAAATACAATTAATTAAAATAAAAAAAAATTATTACACTAATATAGTAATATACACTTATATATAAAAAAATTGTATTTATTATTTTAAATGATTTTATTGTGTTATTTTAATGAATTAGAATCACCAATGTGAGATAAAAAAAAACAGGTATTTGTTTTTAAAATTAAAAAATGAAAATTTGGGGGGAAATGTGCTAAGGTGTAATGAAAATGGTCACATGCTAACAATCTAAATAGTCTTAAAAATAGCGCTTCTTATTGTTTATTCAAAATATACTTTCTTTTTCATTTATGACCATGGACATGTTTTTAGTGAAATTCACCCTTTTATTTCCCACAAATGGCTTAAAACGATGTGTAATGTGTGTGATTACAGTGAGACGAGCAGTGTGAGTAACAGCAGTGATGGGGGCCTGTACACAAACGACGAGGGAAGGCAAGGTGTGTGCACTCATCTCATATATTTCCTAATCAGCATTTATCACGTACAGAATGAAGAGCACGTGTTTGAGTGTTGTGTGTGTGTTTCAGGCGACGATGAGCAGAGCGATTGGTTCTTTGAGGGCGAGCCGGGTGGGGCGTGTGGAGTCGCGGGTGTGGTGCCGTGGTGGGAGAGAGACTCTAACGAACTGGACCTGAATGACCCCGTGTTCAACAGCATCCTGACCGGAGCGTTCCCGTTAATGTCACAGGGAGCTCAAAGAGGTGAGTGCTCAGACACACAGCCTTCAGCTCTGGAGTATAGTTCACATGTTTGTCCACCAGAGGACAGAGCTCTACAACCCACAGGAGAGAGCAGTAATGTCTGATAGAAACATAAATCTTCATCTTATTATGTGAAAATCTAAATTCAAAATATTAGCATTAAATACTTGCATGCTAAATGTTAGTTTTGTAATTTTACAGGTGTAATGTACAATACTTATTATTTTTCTTAAATTCTCTTTTTTTATTTTACTCTGAAGTATTACAATAGTAATTTTTCTCATCATATTTTTATTTGGTAATAATAATAATTATTATTACTAATAAAAAAATATAAAAGTTACAAAATGTTTCTTTAAAGGGGTGGTTGATTACTTTTTTTCTAGGCTTGATTGTGTTTATGGGGTGCAGTGTAACGAAGTCTTCATGCTTTGCTTTAAAAAAAATTTTTTTTATATATATATTTTACCATTATTCTATGCAGCTGTCTCCATTGTCATTCGAACAGCTGGTTGACTTCCTGTTCCTAAATACGCAATGGGCTCAGATTGGTTTGCTGGCCCAGTGTATTGTGATTCGTTAACCATGTATTGCATGTTGTCCGGAAACATCACTGCCCTTACCATTACGGGCAATAGTTGCATGTGCTCCGGTTGAAATGCCGCGCAACATAGCCTCGCCCCCTTTGTGGCATGTTCTCGGGGGCGGGGTTTATGCTAATAGGCCCTTTTCACATGACGTCACACAACTTCCGTTCTGACGCGAAGCAGGGTATTCTTACTTCCGCCAGCATAGTAAGCACTATCGCTGCCAGCATGGAGTTCACCCAAACGCTTGTACAACTGCCACAAATACGATTAGAGGATGACTGCTGCTGTCTATTCTCGTCCTCATTCAGGGAGAGACGTCTGGCATCTCAAACGAACTTACCGAATACCGATCGGTGAGATTTGCCACTTGAAGTCGAGGGAGGAGTTGAAAACGGAGCACTGCAGTCACTGATTCCCGCGACTCTCGCACACTGTTTGCTGTCTTTATTGCAGTTAGATGAAGTTGGTTAGATATATTTCTCAAATAAACAAACGTTTTAGACATTTACATGTGGTAACAGAAAGCCTTTTCATTCAGTAATTTATGCCCTGCTTATTACAGCGCCTGTATGTACAAGAATAGTTCAACATAAGCTTGTACTATTTAAATATCAATAAAATGGGGTCTATAATTTTCCGTTTTATTATTTAATGTAATTCAGAAACAAATATTAAATATATTACATTTATATTGAAAGCTTTTACAGTTAAAAACAGATGCCAGCATTTGTGTTAATAAATATAAAACACATAGCTGTTTTTCAAAGATCACGTTGCATATAGCCTATAATGAAAATAAAATAAGATCGATCATATTAATCAATAATAATTCAAAAAGTAAAAACCCGGTATACATGTAGTTAAAGCGAAATTGAATGGAGGAATTTAAGTAATTGTAGAAGTTCAAAGTTCTGTACAACTACGCGGCTGTCCTTTTTGTATTGTTTCAATATTAAGCCATATTCTTGAACTGGATAGTGAGTTTCTTTTCAGACCACTTGCCTTTATGGATGTGAAACTTGCCATGTAGTAAAATGATTTAATATAAAAAATATGACTTGTGTCCATGTCATTTCCCCATAGTAAATAAAAACAAAATCACGTTGTTTGTCTTTTTATTGCCGAACTATACAGGGAATTTAATTTACACAGTGTACTCACAAATTATCCAAGGAATGACATAAACCGAAATAACAAGTGAAAAGGTTTCAAAGTATGTATTTCGTGTGAACACATAATCGTTGTCATACAAATCTGAAAGCAAGCAAGCCACCCATCTAAAGCAGATGCAGAAAAACGTTCGCAAAAGAACCCAACTGTAAGTACATTAACATTATTAGTCTTAACTCTTAAATAACGCCTTTCATATTTCAAGTTTTTCCTACATTTTCCCGAGAAGTCTCCGGTGTAAAGGTATAACGGAAGTACAGATACACTGCTTTGCGGGAAAGTGGAAGTTAGCTGACGTCACTGTGAAAAGGGCCTATTGCAGGGTTTGTGATGTCGCCAGCCCGGAAAGTAGCTCGTTGTAGTCCCTTCCAGTCGTAATTGTAGGCATTAAACAGACTTTTCTTTAAAAGACAATATCTCCATTTGCATTGAACTTTTTAGCATCGTAACTTTGCAGATATTGTTTATGATCAAACAGCAACATTACACACTAACTAAAGTTAAAAAAAGTTAAATCACAATCAACTTCCCCTTTAATACTTGTTGTTTTTTTACAGTGAAATTACAAAAGTAATATTTATTTTTTTATTTAGTAGTAACTATTATTTTTTGACTTACTACTGCTATTATTTCTATTATTTTTTTTAAATATAAATTATATAAGTTATAGATTTTTTTCTTTAATGCTCAACTTTTTGAATACTCGAATACTACTATTTTTTATTTTATTGTGAAATATTACAATAGTAATATTTCTTATTTTGTTTTTAAGTAACATTTGTTTTTATTTAATAATAAGAATAATTATTATTAATTTTGCTAGTAAAAATAAGTTAAAAATAAAGCACTTTTTTTATCCTTTTTTAATTCACAGTGAAATATTACAATAGTAATATCTCTTATTTTGTTCCTACTTAGTAACTTTTATGTTTTTAATTAGAATTATTATTTTTTTAAATCACTTTTTAAGTTGCAATGACAATTTTTATCAGAAAAATCACAATTGTATTTTCCCCGTAAATCGTGCAACCTTAAAATGTGGTATCTGGTCATGGTGTCCGTGTTTTAAAACTGTCACCCGTCCCCTCTGTGGGACGCCTAAGTTTACTTCACTATATTACAATTACATCCTAATCTAATCATGACAAACTATATATCGTTGGAAAGGTCTAAGACTCCTAAATAGATATTTTACCCATGTTTTTGTTAAAAATTGTGTAGGAAAAGTAATAGATACATTTTTGACAAAAGTGCACCTCAAAAATCTGCATCGTAACAGGAGTTCTGACCTTTGTCAAAAAAAGTCGTCTTTGTTGCCTTTTATCACACTTTAGAAATCATCAGAAATTACATATCAGTTGAAAACTTTAAATCTCAAAATTCATCCTTTGAAACCCATTTTAAAATCACACATTGCATTACCATGAAAATGGTACATCAATATCATGTTACAAAATGTTTTCGTTCATGAATTATAAAAATGTAAGTTTGAATCGTGCACTTTCATGTCTATGTTCAAAAATGTGAGTGACAGTTAAGGGGTTAAGGAGGTCTATTATATCTGGAGAAAACGATTTATTCCTGTTCATTTAGAGCATGCGTGTTAATCTTTAGGCCGTGTCTCTGACTTGTCCTGTTTTTCAGGGTTTCAAGCGCGGCTTGCGCGGCAGGCCTGTCTTCAGCAGTCACAGGTATGTGCACTTGTCTAAAGTATCAACTCATTGTTTATAATTTATGTAATAAATTTAATGTTCTTTCCCAAAAGGGAACCTCTCAAGGAATTCCTGATCGATTACTGAGATTATCCCAGGATCCTCATGAGTAAGTTTTAGTGTTTTTATGCTGACTTATTCATTTATTATGAATAATTTACATTTATGCATTTAGCAGACGCTTTTATCCAAAGCGACTTAGTACATTCAGGTTATACTATTTTTTTTTTTTACCAGTATGTAATAATATAATTTTTTTTATGCATCCATTGTTTTTTTTTTATATAAAATTGTCAAATTCATAAAGTACTTAATTTGCTGTATTGCCTAAATAAAAAACATATTGCTGCTACATTGTTATTTAAAGATTTTTATTTATTTGATTTATCATTTAAATGACATTAATTAAATTAATCTTTTAAATGACATTAACTAAAATGAATCATTTTAATTTAATGGTTACTTTGAGCAATACATTTTTGAGTTATTTATAATATAAATTTACTCAAACTATGATATAATATTTGTGTAATATATCCCCTATCAGTAACTTAATATCAGGCTTGTTTTAAGTGTTTGTTTGTCCTCTGCAGCTCGTGGTTCAGCTCGGGGGCCAGAAGAGACCAAGTAAGACGTGCTTTGATAAATCTAAGCTTTATTTACTGTATGTTGAGTTTCTGGCCTGTGTGCGTGTAATAACTCTTCATGTGAAAATCTACTGTGTGATATGTGACGTTTTACATGTGTCTGACATGTTTGCATATCTGCAGTTGCTTTGGGATTCTCGTAGCGACAGAAGCCACAGGAAAAGCTGCTCGTTAAAGACTGCTAGCAGGTAATAATATATATAGTATATAGTAATATAATGGCACCAGTTCGCTTTTCTGTATCCTTCTGCCATAGTCTAATTTCAAAATACATAATCTTAGCATATTAACCTAAGCAGTAAGTATCCTAATCTCTCCCTCTCTCTCTCTGCAGACAAACCAGTGGTCATCTTGGCTCTTTGTGTACTGGAGATATAAAGAGACGAAGGAAAGCTGCGCCTGTGGGAGCCCCGTCATCCTCCGGTAACACACACACACACACTCATTTACCATCACAGAATGATCTGAAATGTTTCTGTAAAGAGACGTCAGACCCACGTTCTGAATAATAAATGTAAATGGTGCCCTCTTCTTTAACGCAAACGCTTCATGGAAACATGCGACCCGCGTGTGGTCAGGAAGAGGCTTGTCGCCGTGGTAACGGTAAACTCTGTGGCGGTTATATGACGGGATTGGCAGCTGAGCAGGCAGATCAGTGCTGATCTCGTTTTCTCGTTAAAGAACATAATTTCCTCCCGTGATTTGTGACGCAGAGCACATGGCCACGGCCCTCAGGGGTCAGAGGTCACAGAGCTTACCAATTTCTCCGAAACTTGTTAGAGTTTATGAGGAGCAGGAACTGTGACGTGTAATATCAGGATTATTTGAAACACAACTGAGGAAAGCACTCTCCACTGAAGTTATGAGATTTTCAATGCAACCATGTCCATTTGCATGCTAACACTTTACAGTAAAGTCCGAGTTTGAATGCCATGAACTAAAAATGGACAACATGTCATGTTTTGGTCACACTGTATTTTACAGTGTTCATTCATTTTGTTATGTATTTACAGTTTACATTTATAGTGGTGTCAAGAAGTGCATTTATTCAGTCGCAGAACGACGCGCGCTCCACTACACTTCAGCACCAGGCGCGAGTCAAACGAGCGCGGAAACAGGACTGTGATAGCAGTGCATGCTCTTCAATTGCACGCACAAAAGCCTGTCCTGACATTTTATCCAACCCATCAGATTGTCCTACCAGGGTTTACTGCGCATGCGCACATCAATTTTATAGAGAAATCAGTATTGGTATCATTGATACTGGCCTTCAGTCATAAAAAAGATGCCATTAAACAAATATTTAAAAAATACTGTCTTTATGTTGTTTGTACTTGAAGATTGAATGTGAAATTATTGCAATATAAAATTATATTTAAAATCTTTAATGTTAGGTGAGATTAATTGAGATATGCGATTAATTAGTAATTTTTTTTTAATTGATTGACAGCACTAATATATATGATATACAAATGATTAATTGCATCCAATATTGGGTAGGTTTAGGTTTTTTCGTTGTCGAATTGTACTACCCACTGTTTTAATGGGAGGTAGCAAAATCTGCCAGGGAAGCACAAATCGACAGAACACCGGTGCGTGCTGTAGCCTGTATCCTTTCATATCAAAGCGCGAAATAAACTATGTCATGGGCGGCGCTAGGGAGGGGCTAGCAGGTGCTTCAGCACCCCCAAGAAAGACAAAAGCACCCCCCCAGATTTTTTCCTGGAATCGAATATACAGGCTGTAGCCTATTGTATTTAACAAATAACATGATTTAAAAAACACTCTTTACGCATGCATAACTCGTGCAATGCAATAACGACTTGATTTGCAGCTGTCGCACATTTTGAAATGTCATTATAGCATTTTATTTCAAAAATGGAGCGCTTCCTTGTGCTAAGTAGGCCTGACCCCGACTAAAGATTTTTCTAGTCAACTAGCCGCGCGTTATATTAAATTGATTAATATAATAATATACTAAACCATCCTTTAATATATAGGCAGGCGTATTATAGCCTATTCTGTGCTCAAGCTCGCGCATAAAGCAATTGCCTCAAAGCACCGGCAAATTGATTATGAATGTGTTGGGGGGGGAAAGAAGACATTTTAATTATTTATTAATAAACTAGTGCTTTCTGAGTTGGTGTCGGCTGCAAAGATGAAGTTGCCGAATGTTGACGCTGACTCACCATAACTCACACTGACAGGTGTCTTTACAGAGCAATTTTTTAGAGAAATCAGTATTGGTATAAGATACTGGCCTTCAGTCATAAAAAAAGATGCCATTAGACAAATATTAAAAAATATGCTGTCTTTGTTGTTTGTACTTAAAGATCAGATGTGAAATTATTGCAATATAAAATTATATTTAAAAACTTTAATGTTAGTTGGGATTAATCGTGATTAATTTCAGAAAAATGTGCGATTAATTTGTTTATATTTTTAATTGATTGACAGCATATATATATATATATATATATTAGTGCTGGCAAATGATTAATCGCATCCAAAGTACGTTTTGTTTATATAATATGTGTGTGTACTGTGTATATTTATTATATATATAAATACACATGCATGTGTATATTTCAGAAAATATATTATGTTTATGTATTAAATATATTTATACATAATATTAATTATATAAATATAGACATGTAAATACTTTCAAAATATACAGTATCTCACAGAAGTGAGTACACCCCTCACATTTTTGTAAATATTTTATTAGATCTTTTCATGTGACAACACTGAAGAAATGACACTTTGCTACAATGTAAAGTAGTGAGTGTACAGCTTGTATAACAGTGTAAATTTGCTGTCCCCTCAAAATAACTCAACACTCAGCCATTAATGTCTAAACCGCTGGCCACAAAAGTGAGTACACCCCTAAATGAAAATGTCCAAATTGGGCCCAATTAGCCATTTTCTCTCCCCGGTGTCATGTGACTCGTTAGTGTTACAAGGTCTCAGGTGTGAACGGGAAGCAGGTGTGTTAAATTTGGTGTTATCGCTCTCACTCTCATTGCTGCAGAGGTTGAAGGGGTGGGGGGTCAGCCTGTCAGTGCTCAGACCATACGCCACACACTAAAGGTGATGCAGAACAGTTTGCTGAAGACAAGCAGACTAAGGACATGGATTACTGGAACCAGGTGAAGAGTACAAAGACAAGTGTGTCTTGCCTAAAGTCAAGCATGGTGGTGGGAGTGTCATGGTCTGGGGCTTCATGAGTGCTGCCGGCACTGGGGAGCTACAGTTCATTGAGGGAACCATGAATGCCAACATGTACTGTGACATACTGAAGCAGAGCATGATCCCCTCCCTTCGGGGACTGGGCTGCAGGGCAGTATTCCAACATGACCCCAAACACACCTCCAAGACGACCACTGCCTTGCTAAAGAAGCTGAGAGTAAAGGTGATGGATTGGCCAAGCATGTCTCCAGACCTAAACCCTATTGAGCATCTGTGGGGCATCCTCAAATGGAAGGTGGAGGAGCGCAAGGTCTCTAACATCCACCAGCTCCGTGATGTCGTCATGGAGGAGTGGAAGAGGACTCCAGTGGCAACCTGTGAAGCTCTGGTGAACTCCATGCCCAAGAGGGTTAAGGCAGTGCTGGAAAATAATGGTGGGCGCACAAAATATTGACACTTTGGGCCCAATTTGGACATTTTCACTTAGGGGTGTACTCACTTTTGTGGCCAGTGGTTTAGACATTAATGGCTGAGTGTTGAGTTATTTTGAGGGGACAGCAAATTTACACTGTTATACAAGCTGTACACTCACTACTTTACATTGTAGCAAAGTGTAATTTCTTCAGTGTTGTCACGTGAAAAGATATAATAAAATATTTACAAAAATGTGAGGGGTGTACTCACTTTTGTGAGATACTGTATGTGTATGTATTTATATATATATATAATAAATATACACAGAACACACACATATTATGTAAACAAAAACTTTTTTTTTAATATATACCGTATATATAAATTTTTTGTTGTTGGGGGGGGGGGATGAAATGTCTGTCTGTATGTATTTATATTTATATACTGTATTAAATTTTATATTTACATTTTACATTTGTATATTTACACATTACATTGCACATATATCTTTTAAAAATGTGAAAAGTTCGTATTTTTGGTTAACTAAACTTTTTATTGGACATTTGATCAGACATTTTTATTTTGTGGGTTTTTAAATGCACTTCACGCATGAGTTCATCTTAAGATCTTACTTAAGGACTCTTTCAACCCATTAAGTGCATTACATCAATGAGCTTTACCGTTTAATGCAGATTATCCCGTTCTCTCCGTGTCTCTCTCTCTCAGGTGTGGTGGGTGAGTGCGCTGCTCCTCTGCCGGAGTCAAACGTGGGGAACCGTATGCTGCAGAGTATGGGCTGGACCCCAGGGTCGGGCCTGGGCCCTGACGGCAGAGGCATCACGGAGCCCATTCGTGCGTCTCAGAGGCCGAAGGGAGCCGGACTGGGCTTCAACTGAGCTTGAGCCTAGAACAGAGAGAGCAATTCATGCAGAGACAGCAGCTCGGGGCCCACGGTCCGCCTTTCTCTCCGTTAACCTCACCGTTAACGGCAGCCAGCCAGCAGAGGGCAGCACTGAGGTGAAAAGATGACTGACACAATGGAAAAAAAAATAGGACACCTGCACTGGCTCAGACAAGGACTGACTCTTGAGCTGCCTTACTGCCGCCACACACACACACACCGACTCATTTCAACACCAACGTTAAAGCAAACAAATTAACTTCAGAAAAAAACATTATTCACCAAAAAAGTATCATTACAGTCAAGAATTTGCCATTTGTAATGAAAATGTTTCTACAGTACAGGATGAATTGAATGAGGAAATATTTAACCGGACAAATCATAGGGAAAATACATAATAAATTACATTTTGCATAACAACAAATGAAGCCTGTTTATAGGACCTTGAAGATTTTGTGCTTTATGAAATTATTTTCATGTTAATTAAGCACATTTCTCACAACATTCGTTACTGTAATGTAAAAAAAAAGATTTTGTTAAAATGAGAGTTAATTATATTCAGTATAATAGTGGCCGTCTTTATTTTTTCATTGCAACAATGATATGCACTTAATTGTCATCAAAACTAATAATAGTACTAAAAACAGGCTTCATGCAAAATAGGATTTATTATATTATTTTGATGTTTTCACTCAGTAATGCAACACCCTGCAGAAGTATTTTAATAAGCCTTTGGGTCCTTATCAGTGATGTTAATTACAAGCCAACAGCCAAACCTCAGCGCTCGGCAAATACCAGTGGAAATTAGCAAAAAACAAATGTATTATTATTATATATATATATATATATATATATATATATATTTTTTTTTTTAAAATACTTTCACCTCATAAAAAACCCCCAATGTGTTTTAGCAGAATAGATCTGTCCAAATTATAGTCTGTCTCCTGTATTCATTTGATATTTGTATATCTGATGTCGCTGATAACATCATTTGTTACCTTTTTTGGTAATTTAAAAAAAAAATTTTTCACTTATTTTTTTTCCCACTTTTTTAAAGTTTTTGAATCCTGTTTTTTGACGTTAGTGCAAATATCATGCACTAATAATGAATGTCAATACCTCAGCCAATCACATGCTCATGAAAAGTGCATGTATGAAATACTGAAAGGATGCAGACTGAAGCAAGCGAGCGCTGCTCTTTTACGTGACTCAACACATGCATGTTTTAATAATGTTATATGAGGGTTTGGATGTTCACATTCAGTGAAATACGTGTATTTCTCAGCAGAGTTTGAGTAATGAATAGGATTAATTGACTGAATTGGCTTAAGCGTTCGAGGAGGCGACACGCTTACTACTGACGATTTCTGGTTGTCACGAGGTGAAGATTATGCCATTGTTGGGTAAACACTTCAATGCCTCTTACGAACAATCCCAGATGATTGGAGAATCTATTATCTTGGCAGAACGTTTAGGAATCCGCTCGCTAATACAGGAAGAGTCTTTGAGCCGAATGTGACATCACTTCCTCTCCAGTACTTCCGTGAATGAAGATAAGTGTTTTTTTAATTTTGGTTTTGGGAACACGTTGTATTTTTAACCATGTTTGCACTCAGAATGAATAGTTTTCAAGTGGTTGTTGACATGAACGAGGAGCATGTCAGGTTTGTCTCTTCCCGTGATCTGTACAACATGCCAAACTCACAAACATGCCACATTTGTTTACATTGGCCTTTTTGTCGTTTTTTTCCAATTTACATATTAGGAACAGGGATGATATGGTCTCTGTGTGTTCTGAAGTCAAAGTGACGTATTGTTCATATACTGTAGATCAGTATTAAAGCGTTCTCTGCTCTAGGTTGAATCTTTGAATCTTTCCCATGATGCAGAGTTGTTATAGCTGACTAAAATCAAAACCATGAAATTTAAGAAAACGAGATCAATTGAAATAAACTTTAACTGAAATCAAATGTTTACGGTATTTTTTTGCCATTACAACATCACTCATTTTTATTTATTTTAACTTTATGTACTAAAATAAAAAAGATTTAAAAAATGAATAAAAACTATATAGGCAAATAAAAATGGCAAAAACACACAATATAAATGACCAAAACTTTATTTAAAGTGACAACACACAATTTATGTGTGTGTGTGTGTGTGTGTGTGTGTTTATATTAATGAATTAAATCAAAAATACTTCAAATGTAAAATATTTGTAACATTTATTACAAAATATTAATAAAAACTAAAATACTATATGTACACTATAATAGTATCTTACACTAAAACAATGCCATTTAAACATACTTTCAAGACAGCAAAAATAGTTTGAAATTAGTCTCAGGATGTGAGGGAATTTTGAAAATAATCATGTTAATTATGAAATAAAGATATTTTTGAAATAATTAAAAATCTATGTTTTGTAAAAGTCTTAGTTCCCTCCAAAAATCTTGACTTTATTTTATTAGAAAGAGCAGCTTGGACAATCTGTTAAACATCTCCTTTGTTGTTCTAATGCAAGAAAACCAGTCCTGTGGGTTTACAAGACCCATGAGGGTGAGTAGATGGACAACTTTATTAGGAGAATACTCAATTCTCGTGTTGATTGTCTTCAGGGATGTGTTTTATGGCAATTATTTCGTATTCTGTGTGTTTGTTGTGATGACTATCAGTGGACAGATCAATACTCTCATCAGTACAGCTGATCTGGAGAGTAATTATAACCGTGCAATCTAGCAGAAAATTATACCAACAGACTCTACGCTTTCTGTTCTGCTTAGCAGCTGATATGTTGGAGATGTATTCAAAGTGTCCAGAGTCAGTGTGCACAACGAAATCCTGATTAGTTCTACAACAGAATGCTGTTCATTTTTTTGTAAGGCCGTGTTCAAAATATGGGATATGAATATTTAAGATATATTTCAGATACATAAGATATTTTTCAACAATTAATTAGCTGTCAGTTCAACAGACTATCAAAATGTTTTGTAATTTGAACTCTTGAATAGAACTGAGAAAGTAAAGACCAATGATGTGTTTAAAGGTACCTGCTTATGTCTGAAGTTAATTTTTAAAGTCTGATAATCTATCTATCACACTTTCTATCTCACAATCTATCTATATCTATCACACTATCTTATCTATCTATCACACATCTATCTATCACACTATCTTATCTATCACTATCTTTATCTATCTATCACACATCTATCTATCTATCTATCTATCACACTCTTATCTATCACACATCTATCTATCTATCTATCACACTCTTATCTATCACTCACACTATCTTATCTATCACTATCTTTATCTATCTATCACATATCTATCTATCACACATCTATCTATCTATCTATCAATCACACATCTATATCTATCACACATCTATCTATCTATCTATCTATCTATCAATCACACATCTATATCTATCTATCTATCACACATCTATATCTATCTATCCATCACACATCTATCTATCTGTCTATCAATCACACATCTATATCTATCTATCTATCACACATCTATCTATCAATCATACATCTATATCTATCTATCTATCACACATCTATCTATCTATCTATCAATCACACATCTATATCTATCACACATCTATCTATCTATCTATCTATCTATCAATCACACATCTATATCTATCTATCTATCACACATCTATATCTATCTATCCATCACACATCTATCTATCTGTCTATCAATCACACATCTATATCTATCTATCTATCTATCTATCTATCTATCTATCTATCACACATCTATCCATCTATCTATCTATCTATCTATCTATCTATCTATCACACATCTATCTATCTATCACACATCTATATCTATCTATCTATCACACATCTATCTATCAATCACACATCTATCTATCTATCAATCAATCACACATATATCTATCTTATCTTTCTATCAATCACACATCTATCTATCTATCTATCTATCTATCTATCTATCTATCACACATCTATCTATCTATCTATCTATCACACATCTATCTATTTATCTATCTATCTAGATTTTTCTTGTGAAAAAGAAAGTCCAACTCAACATGAGGGTTAAAAAGCTGTGTCATCATCTGTCTCTGTGTGTCTCTGTGCGTGAGACAAACGAGATGAGAATCGTCTCAGTCAGAGGAAATCCAACATGTAATCCTGCTCAGCTCATCACTTTGAGACCTGAGTTACGTAACGCTCAGCACACAGGTAACGACTGTCACTGATACATAGCTACACAAAAAATGTGACGGTAAAGTACAGTACATTCACCAACCACCTGATGACTGTTGCACAAAACTGGAAAATGCTTTCTTGATTTCTTACAGTGCAGTCTGATTTTATACATCATACATCTTAGGTGAGTAAAGGCATATAGGTGATGTCAGTCAGTTTGTCTTGAACCAGGGTTGATGCACTAAACGCTTTTGATGAAGACCTAATTACAGGATTTGCCAGATTAGTGACATTGTATTTTTGAAAGAGGCCTGAGTGCAATGATGAACTGACTTTAAATGAAATTAATTTCATTAAATGAAATTGAGTGTTTACTGTTGTCCTTTTGTATTATTACACACTATTTTTTCCTATTTAATACTGTAAAGCTGCTTTGACACAATCTGTATTGTTAAAAGCACTATGCAATTGCACTATATATCATTTCAATTAGTAGCGGAATTGTATTTTATTAAGAATCTCTACACTTTTTCTGCTATTTATATGCAAGTAAAGCTTTCTTTACACTACTTTTCAGATTTGCAGCTTTTTGGTTCACAAGATGGTAACTGATGGACTGGAATGGTGTGGATTACTTGTGGTTTATTGTGATGTTTTTAATCAGTGAGCACAAGTGAGCACATTTTCAGCAAATGTTCATTTTTGGGTGAAATATTCTTTTAAGTTGCCAGATATCATGTTTGCTCATTAGAGCAACATGGTAAAGGTGCCTAAATAAGCAGTTGTGCTCTCATGCAGCATCCAGGACTGCTGCTATATGGGTTAACTTATAACATGTTTTAAAAGACACCAGCAGTGAATGCCATGGAGATATTTGCTCTTTGTGATGTTATGAACTGAGATCTGTACTGCAGTGGTCAGACCTGTCTGTCTGATCTGGGTTTAGTTGTGATCTGGAGGGATGAGGAGGATGTTTAATGAGGAGTGTTTCCTGCTGTGTAGTCTGCAGTGACAATGATGATGGTGAGAGAGTTGCAGAATCGAGTAAATGTCAGACTTAGACACAGAAAGCGTTGAGATCTCCTTTTGTTTTTCAGCTCAGTGTATGTTTGCTCTGGGCACATGAGTGGACAGAGGCTTTTCCAGCTAATACCACTGAAAACACTGTCTGTTTACCTCCTGCATAATGGAGGCTTTCTCATTTCAAACACAAAGTTACACTTGATCTCTCATAAACAGCTTATTGTTTCTTAAAGGTTTGCTGAGCATTAGGCTAATGGCCTGTGCAGGAGATGATGCCTTGTTGTGTTAAATGCAATTTTGAAGACAAGAATTGCAATAATGGTTATAATGGAAATCTTTATGTAGCCTTCAGATTTGTGTGTTCAGACAACACTTGGATAGTTTTTGATACTTTTATGTAAGTCGCATCCCTTACCATGGTAGTACCATGGTTTTACTGTAAGTGCCCTGAAGTACAATGTAAATACTAGCCTTTATTAATATAGCCGTCATGATGCGTAGTGTTTATCAAAGTATTACCATCTGATACCGTTACTATGCATGTTTCTAAGCCTATATAACTGGTTTGGAAGCTGGTTATAAAATAAAA